TCCTGAGGAGCTCCACGGAGCTTTAAGAAGCTTTCAGAGGCCTCAAGCCGGCCTCTGAGAGTCTACTGTCAATGTTCTCTGAGGGCCCATAAAGGGATCTTTGATGACCTTACTGTCTTACATACATAGATAGACCTCTGAAGGGCCACACGAATCTTTGGGGATACCCTCGAAAATTTCTGAGAGCCTTAATTAACCCGCGCCCCGTAGGGGGGGGGGCTAGCTTCTGATAGTTCAGCCGAACTTATGAGGCGACAGACTTTGCTAACCCCAAGCCGGCATCTGATGGGCCGCAACACATGCTTCTCATGTCCCTACGTAGGGTCCTTAGGGATTCGACTCAGATCCCGAGGGTTCACACTGTTATATGAGGGCTGCAGGCTCACCCTGGGCCTAGTCTCTTAGCGCTGCCGCCCACACTGGCTTCTGAGGGCCCCACCTTGGGCTCGGAAAGCCCTAAAGCACCACATGCACGTAAATATTTGGGGTGATCCACGCCGATCTCCGGGATCCTAAGCAGGATTCTGAGAGTCCACACTGACCCTGAATGGCCTGAAATGGCCTAAAAGTTCCAAGCCTATCTCTAAGGGATCCCTTGTCGCTATACCGTGCGTGGCTTTTGGTCCCGTTAAACATTTTTTTTTTTGCTCGCGTTTGCAGCGCTTCCCTTCACATGAAAAACGAGAAATTTTTTGTTCACACTCGAGTGAACAAAACACTTCCTCTTACTGGAGCAAAGATGAATTACTTCCGATTCATCCTTCCGACATTCGCTCTCTACCGAATGCCCAACTTAGCTACAATCGGCGGCTGGGATAAGCCCTATGCATTTCACGTAAAACCTCTGCATGCATGCGTGAATGGAGGTTTTAGCAAGGTGATCCGATTAAATGGAGCGTTTTTCACCTTTTTCTGGGTGATTATCATGAGCGACGAGCGTCTGCACAGGGGCCCTCTGCAGTGCGTCGGCAACCGCAGCCACTAATTCTACCGGTCGTTTTTGTCCAGAAATTTCAAAATTTCGAATTTTTCTTTAAAAAAATTATATGTCAATGCCAGAAGGAAAACTTTATCACTATCGGATTCCTCGCACCATTGCGCGTCGAATGATATGTAAAACAAGTGACTGACGCCTGGGGAAAGGCAAGATTTAACACAAAACTTGATTTTGCCCCCCCAACCGAAAATCTCTGGCGACGCCTATGAACAAGTGGACCCGACGTGCATGGATATCGCCGCGGCGAATATCGGTCAGTGGCGGGCCTGAGGGCCCGGTGCGCACCTGAGGGTGCCAGTGGCCTGAGGGCCTGACACGCACCTGAGGGTGCCGGTCGGTCAACGGTTTGACCCGACGTGCATGCATACCGCCGGCGGCATACGACCGGTCATGGCGGGCCTGAGGGCCTGATATGCACCTGAGGGTGCCAGTGGCCTGAGGGCCTAATCCGCACCTGAGGGTGCCAGTTGGTCAACGGTTTGACCTGACGTGCATGCATACCGCCGGCGGCGAACAGCTAGACAGTGGCGAGCCCGAGGGCCTGGCGGGCGACTCTGAAGGAAGCATGGCCAGTCAGCGGTTGTTCTCGACTTGCATGCGGTCGCGGGGGTCGGTCAGCATGAGGGTTATCCGGTAAGTCATCGGTTTGACATAGACGTTCGTGCGAATAGCGGGTAGCGTTTTGGTGGTGGCGTTCGTTCCCCGAGAGTGGTTCGGGCGGTCATCAAAATGCCGCGCATGCCTATCGCCGGCTACGTCTGCCGGTCAGTACTTGGCCTGCATGCCAACCCCGAGGGATATCTGGACGGTCTGCCATTTTATAATGACGTGCACGCACAGCGCCGGATACGTTTTTTTTCGAATAGCAGCGACCTGACGTAAGCACCCCGTGGGGTGCCAGTCGGTCCGTGGTTTGACCGGACGTGCATGCGATCGCGGGCCGGTCAATAGTAAACCTGAGAGCACACCCACAGATGAGGACGCAATCGGTCCGTGTTTGACTTGACTTTCGGGAGAAAGGCGAGCCGCAAGTTCGTCTCCATTCCCGCCTGCGGCCGATTTATTGCACTTTATGATTCGGCGGCGGGCTCGCACACTCCGAGAACGCATCTCCCGCTAACACAATCAGTTGGGGGAGGTTTGGTCAATGGTTGTCATTTTTAGCACATGCCATTTTTGGCAACCATGTGCTAAAAATGACAACGCTATCAGCTATTTTTAGCAACGATGAAGCCGATTTCACTCCTCAGCGAGGAAATCACGATTTTGGAAATACAAGCACTGATTTTGGAAAAGAAGTGCTGCCACCTGGTGCAAGAAGAAGAAACCAGCTTTAATATGGCCGTTGTTTGTATGGTAGTCCAACGTTGAAGTATACCCTTTTTTGTGGCCCGAAGTTGAAACTTTAAATTGAAGCATCCGAAAATGATCGATATTGATCGAAATCATGATGTTGATGAAAAAAATAATATGTTAAGTTGAGAGAGGAGGCCATTTTATCCAGATGCGGTGGTTTACTTCTTGAAATTATTTTTGCTTACGACGACTGCCATGTAATGAGGGATAATTATCAGCCGTCATTAGCAAAAATAATTTCAAGAAGTAAACTACTGCATCTGGATAAAATGGCCTCCTCTCTCAACTTAAAATATTATTTTTTTCATCAACATCATGTTTTCGATCAATATCGATCATTTTCGGATGCTTCAATTTTAAGTTCCAACTTCAGGCCACAAAACAAACTACCATACAAATAACAGGCATATTAAAGCTGGATTCTTCGTCTTGCACCAGGTGGCAGCACTTCTTTTCCAAAATCAGTGTTTATCTTTCCAAAATCTTCATTTCCTCGCTGAGGAGTGAAATCGGCCTCATCGTTGTCAAAAATAGCAGAATCGTTGTCATTTTTAGCACGTGTGACAAAAATAGCACGTGCTAAAAATGACAACGATTGACCAAACCTCCCCCGACTGCAATGTTTTATTTCCTCATGCGTGTCGGCCGTGTCTGCCGCGGCCTCGTTTTGGTCCGGCTCGTGGGTGTCTGGTCGGAAATTGCTTTCGAGCCACGTAGCGTGACACACAGTAGTCAATACTCCAATGCTCATTGTTCAACCTATACGATAGATCTTTAAAGCTAAATCGGCATGGTGATGGGTTCAGGAAAACAATTTTGAATGTTTTTCCAAGGATGAAAAGATTGACAATTCTCGTCACTCCCTTGCTCACCAATCTTCCAGAATAAAGGCAAAAGAGTCTTTCAAGATCTTCAGCGACGTTTTATCGTTGGTTATTCAATCTCAGCTTGTTTTAAAAATACATTTTTCATCTCAATGACTTTAATGATGAAGTGTCTCTCTCCCTCTCAAGATGGTCGATTTTCCGTCTCGATCAAACGTCAATCCAATGTGTATTGCATGCACCTACATATCGGATCCAGCTCAACATGACCGTGACCGCTCACATTGCTGATCACATTCAAATTGCGCGAGTGTAACACAAACTTAAAATTAATGTAAGCCAGCGAATGCAATTAATATTGCTCACGCGCCATTACTTTCTCGGCGGCCCCTAATTGCCCATGACGAGCAGCCGAGGTCTGCTCGACTGACCGATAGATGGCAGGGCGTTCGCGGCAGTTGACGTGGAAATAATTCGAAGCAACGAGGCCCATCCAGCTCGACCGCTGCTGGCGCATCCAGCCGCTCCAGCCGCCGACAAAAAGATGGTCGGTCGCGGCGGGACGGCTGCGCCAGCCTGTGCTGACCGGGTGGCCGCTGTCAACCACCGCCGCTCTACTGGTTCGCTGGACCGACCAACCGACCGACAGGGTCTGGTTGTTCGGCCCCGCGCAGCGCTCACGGTCAACCCTCCCCTCCCGGCGAGGGCTGTCCGTGACAGGACGATTGCGGCGCAATCAGCGGCATCTGCGGCGAACGAGGCGCGGCACACACAGATTGGCGAGGCGTGGGCGGCGCGTCACAATGTGCGTGCTGAAGGGAGGCAGGGTAGCGAACTATTGCCGAGACGAAATGTGGCTGCCTCCGAGAGCATAGGTGTGGTTTGCATACCTAGCGGAAATGTGAGTGGATAAATAGAAAAGCATGAAAATACGACATCCTGTGGTGGTACGTAGTCTATGGAAAGTGTTTCGCATTTTTCAACCATGAATGAATTGCTGGATGAAATAGTGTAGAATTCAACCAATTTAGCAAGATTGCAGTTTGTTCCTGAAAACGGTGTGAACTGTGGATCTTGATGGAGCCATCACCACTGACGTCCTAAGGAGATTCGGAACTGGGATATTTCAGAAGCTGTGTCAGCCTGTGTCACATGAACGAATGCCGCCCATCTAACTCTGACAATCACCAGAGACGACATCATCCTACCCGCCGCCAGATATATTGTTTTCTGAATTATACAACATATATTCCATGTTATGTATATTCAATTTGCTAAGTTGTCTATTTCTTCGTCAATCTAAAAAATGCGATTGATACGTAAACGCATTCGTGGCTATCATAAGGCATGTTATGTTTGCTTAGAATCACGTTACAAGAATGGAATACGAGACTTTCGAGGGATATCCGACAACTATAAACAAAATACTGTTAAAATCAATCAAAAGAAGACACTACGAGAGAGATCCAACGATGGCGCGATCCGCAGCCGTGACATCCGGGTCGATTCGCTCGTCGCGACAATATTGTGTGGACGCCGCCTGTGTCGTGCCCTGGCTGGCCTCCAATGTTCAGGTCATTGGTCGCAGGATCCCAGGCTATAAAAGCATTCGCCGCCTCGAGCCAGCCGCAGTCGCAAAATGGCGGAACGGGCAAGTACCCAGAGATCTGTCTTTGATGAGACGTCCGAAACATAACAGCTAAAAGATTGTTTGCTCTCATGGTTTTCCACTTTCAAGCGAGAAAATAGGGCGGCCAAGTTGGCGATAGTAAAACGGCAGGGCCGGGCGGCCCCGCTGGCCGGCTGCAGGGGAGGACACTCACCATCTGCCGCGGAGCGGGACCAGGTCACGGCCGGGGGAGGGTAGCCGTCTGCCCAGCACTTGACCTCCGCGCCCTGACCGCGCACCAGGTCCACGTCCTCCGGCTCGAACACCCAGAACGGCGCCACTGGCGGCACAGCACAGGTCAGAGGTCAGAGGTCATACTTTGTCTATGGGGCTACTAATTCTTCACCTACATATACATATAGTCGGAGTGAGATATCGTACACACGCCAAAAACGTGGGGGTCGCATGTCAAAAGCATACAAATCCGTACCTGCACAGCCAGCTCATCTCTAGAAGCCATCGTGTAGTAGTCGTAAAGTTGTCGGTCCCCGGAATCCTTTAATCTATCGTAAACCAGCCAATTTAAACACGTCTCTAACTTGTGCGTCGGCCAGGGTTCCCGGCCTGTTACGTCAGAGGCCGCTTTACGGCCGGAGAGGAACGGTTTTAGTTTTCAGCCGGTGCGTCACAAGCACCGGAGGGGTCGTGGGGGACGACTAATTCTCCAGCCGGGCTCATTGACTCGGCTTTATGACTCTATTTCCGTGCGCGCTCACCTGGGACGGTGAGCGGCGCGTGGAGACTCACCGGAAGGTGAGTGAGGTACTGTAATTCACCCCAAAGGTTGAGTGAGAAAGTGAAGCTCACCTGAGCTGGGAACTGAAAGCTCGTCTGACCGTGACAGAGAGATTGAACTTCAGTTGAGCTAGTGGGTAGGGGACTTCCACTCACCTGAGATGGTGAGCTTCACCCATGGTTCAGAACTCGCCTGATACAGTGAGAAGAGCGCTATAGCTCGCCTCTCCAGCGCCGTTTTTCGCCGCGCACGTGTAGTTTCCCGAGTGTTCTCTGCGCAGGCTGCTGAAGCTGAGGATACTGGTAAACTCGTTGACGGCGGTGACGTTGGGCTCCGAGAGCGGCTCGCCGTCCTTGACCCAAGTCAAGGTCAGTGGCGAGTCGCCGCGGGTCACCACGCACTTGACCGACTCGCGGTCACCGGCGCGCAGTCCAGAGGTGAAGGTGAACGGCGACACCTTGGGACCCACTGCCGGCGGAGGTCCCCAGTGTCAGAGTGTCAGAGAAGATGGAACATTCATGGAACTTAGAGATGTTTATGCTTCTACTGAGCTACTGTAGAAAATACTCATTATCTTCAGACGCCATTATTTGCAAATCATAGCCACGTTGGCTCAAAAATATTCTTTAAACACAACTAAAATACAGCTTTTTAGCAATGTTTGGCAACTTTATCTGCGGATGTTGTTCGTGCTCTGAAAGTTCTGCACTGAAATTATTTCCATGGCGAGACTTCGCGCATTGTGATGCTCGTTTAAAATAGTAAGTTTAGCATAATCAACATCTCTTCCCAGCAGCATTCGGATCAAAAGTATTTCAGTAAAAATGGACATCTCAAAATGAATCGCGCTCTTTCAATCTCAACGTTGGATCTTTTTCCGTGGTTATCAATGTCAGTACGAGAAGATAACTATTTTTAAAGAAATTTTGTCCGAATGGTTGAATGGGGCTGTGGAGTGTGGGTCATGGTGCCCCGCTAAGCAGCATGCTTGTTGCAAATGACACCACGGAGCCCCATGCGACCTTACCCAGCCCGGTTCACCCGTGATAATTTGAATCGAAAGAGCTCAGGTAAAAGGTGGCACGGTCCTCCCGGGTCTAGCGTGGCCATCTCCGCCAGTTGCCAGTTATCAGAATATAGTAACGGGGGTCAAACGACGTGGAGCCCTCCAGTCGACGGACGGCTCATCCACTAGGCCACGGGGGGAGGACCATTACTATTCTTATCTTATCACCTTGGTCGTCGATTATTGCTGAAAATGCATAGATAATGAACTGTTCACTAAGCATGGACACCAGCGTTTCCTTCAGCCGCCGGAAGGGCAGCCACTGAGAATTGGAAATTTTCCGCTTCCAGGGAAGCGTAGCAAATGAAAACGTTCGAGCGATGAGATGCATGCGCCTTCCCATGAGATATGCAGATTTCGGACTTAATTTGGCCTGCCCTTGATCAAGGCGAGGCTCAGAGGAGCGCGCATCCACCAGGGGCCGCGGCACGGCTCGGCTGGGAAGTCGGCGCCGCTTGAAAGGCGTCCGATTAATTCCAGGAACTGGAGTACTGGTCACATGGCATGCAGCTGGGCTCCATCGCAGAGGAGGTTCTAGGGTAAATTAGATGGTCCTAGACTCCGAAGTTGGCCAATGACTGCGCAACATGCACCTTTTTGTCAAACTTAGAAGAAAAAAATATCCATCAATCAATCATCGTTGTTGATAATTGCTGTTAATTTGGCCATAAGAGCTTTTTCTGTAGTGAGAGCAAAGTCTTTTGCGTCTGCGAATGGGCGAACAGCGAAACTATTTCGCCGACATATGAGGTGCTCTGTCATAGCCCTAGGACGCCGAATCAGCCCGTTCTGTCGCCGGCTGGTTGGCCTCAAACGCACCTTGGGTGAGAAACCGCCGCCATAAGTCAGCGGCTGTTGCTGCGCCGCTGAAATGCGACCCGATCGAGCGGCGTTCGGCGCCCGGAGGCGGCCGTCCCAGCCGGCGGCACCACCCGGGGGACAGCGCCGCACCATACGACCCGCTGCTGAGAGCCCAGCGGAGAACATCTCTTCACCATATAAAATAATGCCGCGGAGGATATATCCCCACCATGCGACCTGACGCTGAGCGATAGCAATGCGGCTCACCATGCAACCCAGTGACTGAGGTCGATTGAGGGACGGCTCCGACTCGACCATACGATACGGTCGGCAAAACAAACAACTTACCGATAAAATCGGACAGAAACAACTGACGCGGATAGACAGATCCACTTTACCTGACGGAGTGGTTGGAAAATAAATTCAAGATTCAAAACCAGCAACAACATCTTGCGGAAAACATCAGTCTTACTGGAAGCACCATTTGCCAGATACCCTAACTTTAGCCTGGCTGCCTGGCTGCCTATAGGTATCGACTGCCGCAGCCGATACGCCCGCCCCAGTTGTTCCCAGGTCGTCCATCTATGCTCAGACGGATCGGCCTGTAGGACCGGCTCGGCTGGACCGGTACACGAGTCGTCGTCGTGTAGCCCCTCCCCACTCCTCTCTCTCCCTCCCTCTCTCTCTCCCTCTCTCTCTCTCTCTCTCTCTTCTTTCTCTCTCTCTCTCTCTCTCTCTCTCTCTCTCTCTCTCTCTCTCTCTCTCTCTCTCTCTCTCTCCTCCCTTCTCTCCTCCTCCCCGATCCGGACGGGACCGAACCGGACGGAAATGTCCGGCTCCGTACGTCAGCTCCAACTCGGCTGCAGTCCGTGGCCGAGTCGACTAGACGTTCCGTCGCAGCCGGACCGCGGCCGGCAACGGTAAATGGATCGGTCCGGGAAATCAGATCAATCAGGCTGCCGAGGGCCGACCTGTGACGTCATCGGATCTGGGACCGGACGACAGTGCCGTAATGCCCGCGGCCCGGAGAGCGCCGGCCGCTGCCAGCGCCGCCGGCGGCGGAAGGACGGCCTTACGGGGGATCGCATTCGCGCGATGAATGCCGGAGACCATCTGTTTGGTGATGGATTTCCGTCCGCAGCTGCTAATAGGTTTCTAACATTATTCACGTGAATGTAGGTACGAAAAATGGCGGTGAGAGACCCAATTGAGCCAATGTATCTGGAAACAATTATATAGTCAAATAGATCAGCGTATGTGGAGGTTTTGGACACCTGCTCCCACATTCAAAGAACGTTAATACCTTGTAAAGCATTCATAGCACGTCTCCAAGAGAATCTCGTCAGAAAAGATTCAATAGTACTATGGTGTTAAAAGTTAAAACCTTTCTGGTGCGTATATTCATTGCGCGCCTATCATTTACATGCATCCAAGGGAGATCATATTCTGGATTACGGAATGATAGCAAGTCCATCCGAATAGAAAAGAAACGTGTTCGCTCAGTGACTATCGTTGACATTCTACACTACTGTCGAGTGGATTTACACAAAGTCACACAAAAGTCACGCTAACCGGCTTTCAGCTATTCTCTCCAGTGCTAATAAGCCTGTCTGTCTGCTTGTTTTTCCAGTATATTGTGGCATTTCCATTTAGGTTAGTTGCGACACCTTTATTTGCCCCTGTCTTTAGCTTTAGGTCTCATCATTAACTCTCCAGCTCGACTATAAGAAGACTCACCGACCACGCTGAGCCTCGTCGTTCCGGAGTCGGACGCACCCGCGTCACCCCAGGCAGTGCAGCTGTAGATACCGGCGTCGGCACGGGTCACGTGATCAAACACCAGCCCAAAGTCGGCAGTGAGCCGCAGGTGACTGGGCAGCCGCGCACGACCCTCTGCGAGAGAGGGAGAGAGAGGGGGAGATGTCAGGTCAGACGTTCACTCACATGTGCAAAGTGTTTGTAGGCATAGTTTATCCGTTGACCTGCGCATTCACATGCCGTAAATTATTTTTACATCATCTGTTCTGGCTGTGCCATACGACGTCTTCCTCGATAAATCGATGAGCTATGTAATCTGCTTTCAATACCAGACGACACGCAAGATCTTGCGTGGAACAAGATGATCGACCGGCTCAAGGCCCCAGGCTTGTCATTGATTTTCCAGGCCCAATGGTCATGCAATCAGTCATTTGGCTCCTTATCGACTTTTCTTTTAAAAAAATAATAATAAATGCAACTCGATATGATTATGCAATCATTCTCTATTACGATGACCACTAACGACGAAGCACTAAAGGTCAGCTTGTAATTAGATAAGGAAACTATGCGTCGAGCAAGTAAAGTACGAATTATAATTTATAATTCAGGATAAGTTCAGCCGGCCTGCTGGTGCGTGGTCAGACAATGGCTGTGCCTCGGCCCAACAGCGATTAGAGAGGGGCCCTGCGCACTCCCACCGCGCTGGGTGACCTCAATATCCCGCCGCCCACCCCTGCTCGCACTGATGTCACAGCCGCCGCGCTCTTTACGGTGTCGGGACCGAATCGAGTGGCTCTAACTCTACGCGGCGTGACCCGGGGCGGGGGTGGACCCCCTCCTCGGTCCCCCTGACCTGCAGAGACCCAGTCCACTAAACTGACGTTCTATGGCCGGCCGCCACCCGGCTGTCTCGTAAAGCAGCGTGCCGGGCAGGGGAGTCTAGGGGAGCCCAAGCCGTTACCGAGATGGGACGGTGCCAGCCTCCATACCACGCAGGGATGAATGAACTCGGCTACAGGCGGCCCATTTGAACAGCGATACCATCCCAGTTCCATCTGCAGGATCGCTGCTTCGGGGAACGAGTGCGTGACACTCGCGCCTGACACCTCGCTCAACTAGTGCGAGGATGCAGCATGGATAAATCCACAGAGCAGGTAATACTTGGATGAGAAAGTCTGGTTAGTAACGCACTTACAGATGACTTCGCTAGCACTGGCTATAATAATGAATGTAACGCCTGAAACAACCATACTAATTTTGTTCATGAGTAAGCTATGAGGACCTCGAGAATTGATTTTGGAGTGATTATCATCTTCAAATGATACAGCATTCCACGATAATTTCCAGGCCTCTTAAACACTTAAGTTAATAATTCGAATGTCGATGTGAAACTGTTGCACCAAAGCACTGACATTTTGCAACTTGAAGCTAACGTGAGGCTTCCTGAACAAGACAATTTATAGCTCCCTCAATGCGGTCTCCAGAGAAATTACATCAATTCTTCCGCAAACAGCGGCCGCGGCGCAGTGTAGCCGGTATGAATAACTCGCCGCCCACCCGCGGAGTTCAGGGTCTCAGACGGATGGTGTCTCGGCGGCGGCATAAATCTCCATGAGCTGTCGGTGAACCTGCCCCCGCGCTGGGTGAGCCCACCGACCGACCAACCGACCGATGAGCCACAGACCGACCGAGCCAACGACTGACTGAGCCAACGAGCCAACGAGCCAACGAGTGAACGAGCGACTGAGCGACTGAATGCACGAACAATCGACCGACAGACCTACCGAGCGGGGGACTGAGCCAACGAGCGGCCGACCGACAGTCTGTCCGTCTGTCCGTCTGTCCGTCTGTCCGTCTGTCCGTCTGTCCGTCTGTCCGCGTGTCCGCGTGTCCGTCTGTCCGTCTGTCCGTCTGTCCGTCTGTCCGTCTGTCCGTCTGTCCGTCTGTCCGTCTGTCCGTCTGTCCGTCTGTCCGTCTGTCCGTCTGTCCGTCTGTCCGTCTGTCCCGATCGTCCTCCGTCTATCTGCCCGTTCGACCGTCCGACCGACCGACCGAGTGGCCTCTCCGGAGCTTTAATCACCCGCCCAGCTGGCCAGCCGTCCAATTTATGGCCGGACATTGGGTGCGCGGCCGGGGTGCCAGAATCTGACCACAGTCCAGTTGATGATAGCAGCGTGGACATGAGACCTTAAGGCATTTCATTTTGTATTTATGGTAGTCGGTAGGTCAATTGGCTGCTTGGTTAAAATAGCTCAAGGCAAAGATCAAAGCAAAATAGTTCAAATGACAAGATCATTAGTTCCAATTCATTCCTACGATTTTTTCCCGAATGCTAGCAGCAGTCATTTACATGTAAGTCCAGTATTCCTAGAAACTCTAATCTTCGTATAATTTAATGTGATTTTTTTCTTCTAAAAATTGATATTGACTGTAAGGGTGGTGTAGACCGATGGTGGCCTCAGTGATTTTTTGCAGCAACTTCGCCCTTGGTGTCGTGATGTCTTGCTGTCTATACTGCACCTGATGAGACGTGCGGAACGAATATAGTTGCTGTGAAACTTCCGGCACTTTGAGTGCGGCTGAGCTACTCATATCATCAATTCCACTTGATCTTGAGTGGAAGCATTCTGAGCATCGCCATCTCTTATTGCGTGCGACGGAGCGTTTGTCTGTGAAATTAACCCCTTCAAAATTAATGCAGGCCGGTGAACTGCACTGCCGTCTTAAATCAATCTCCGTATAATTGCGCAGTGGTAGAGAGACGCCTGGCAACTGCACGCGGTAGTCTGAAATGGCATAACATGCAGAACACACCAACTATGAGTATTGCGAGTTGAGCATTCTGCACGATTGGAAAGGTCAACTCCCACGTTCCCCGGCCTCTGGGATGAAACGGGCGCGCTTGTGCAGCATTACAGGCTCCTTTTGGGCCGTGGAGCGCAATAATTAATTTGCCCTTCCATGTTTGATGATGGGGAGGGGCAGGGAGGAAAGTTAGCGTCCCTGACGACAGACGCGCTGACCACCTGACCTGTAGCCGCCGGGCTGCGGCAAGGTCACCGCTGCACTGGTCGGGTTCGTTTTCGGTCCGGATTACAATAATCTACTGTTTTCTATTCTTCCGATCAGGTACCGATGTCGGACGAGTTTTTGCAAGACGGGAGCGTCAGTTTCTACTCCGCCGCGCGCACGGTGCAGCGCCGACAGCTCGAGTAAGTACAGCGGCTTAGTCTACCTTGCAGGCGTTCAACTGCTAGTGCCATCTAGGGACGAATTCTGTCGGCAGTTCGCCCAAGTCAGCGGCACAGTCTACCTTGCAGGCGTTTAACTACTAGTGCCATCTAGGGACGAATTCTGCCGGCGGTTCGCGCAAGTCAGCGGCACAGTCTACCTTGCAGGCGTTCAACTGCTAGTGCCATCTAGGGACGAATTCTGCCGGCGGTTCGCGCAAGTCAGCGGCACAGTCTACCTTGCAGGCGTTCAACTGCTGGTGCCATCTAGGGACGAATTCTGCCGGCGGTTCGCCCAAGTCAGCGGCACAGTCTATCTTGCAGGCGCTTAACTGCTAGTGCCATCTAGGGACGAATTCTGCCGACAACTCGACTTAGTCAGCGGCACAGTCTACCTTGCAGGCGTTTTACTGCTAGTGTCATCTACGAATTCTGAAACTACCTTAGAACCTTAGCGCACAGTCGCAAGACAAATACAAGCCCACTGTTTGCGAATCGCGAAAGCAATTACTCCTCCCGTTTTGCTCAGACGGTTTCGATTTGACATTTGGCTAAACGTGACAGCAAGGTGACTAAGTTACACCATTACTCTTTGAAGTTCCAGCATCTTCTAATTCTATTTCTTTCGTTTTATTTGAGTTGTTTAGCATTGTGACAAATGCCAGTGCAGTTACATACATAAGGGCACCTCGATAAGACCAGACCAGTCGTAGCTACGTCAATCTAATCCATCCCTTTGCGCCACAGGCAGGTCGACCTCCTTGGTTCAGCACCCGACTCCGTGCCACGCCGACACCCCTCAGTCAGGCCGTCGGGCGGTCGTCGCTCTGTCGGCCGTCGGTCACGGACGGCGCTCATGGCTCACGGCGGCGCACGACCGGCCATCAGTCGCGGCCGACCCGGGCCGCCTGGGAATCGGCGCCGATGCAGCCGCCGCTCCTGACATTATCGCCCGCGCGCAAATGGCCGCGGGCCGTTCCGGGCCACAACGTACGAGCGGCCAGCCAGCCGGCGGCGACTCGGTGGGGCAGAGCCCCGCGGGTTCCGAGCCTGCGACAGCCGGTCAGAACACCCAGCGTGGTAGAGATAAGTCTTGCGCCGAGCGTGTCCACCAGCCGCCGCCAGCTGGCGCGTTAGAGTCTGTTTTCAGGTAGTGCGCCGTCGCTACAGCGAACGGGCTTGTCTTCCATTAGCGGCGCGGCCCGTCGTCACTGCCAGGGTGGGTCGTATCGGTCGGCACAGATGACCCTCGGCTTTCTCCGTGTTCGACCACATTGGTCCTGGTCCCTTGGTCTCCCGGTGGACCACACGGCTGCTACAGGGTCGCAATAGATGGAATCTATACGAATACGTGGCCAAGAAGGTGGATTAGTGCAGAGCGGTGCCAAAGGTGGATAATATGTCCACATCTATACCTGTTGGTAATGAGTTTTATATGCTTGCCATTTTACATGCTTCAAATGTATAAATTGAAAAAATCGCAAACATATATCGTGATATATCGTGATATGCGGTCGTGATATGCGATAATGCCAGCATTGCAAACATTGCCGTCGAGTCTGTATTTGTAAGGTTAAAAATGTTAACCAGCACCATTTTGGCAACAACATGGGTGGCCTCCGCCAATAATTTCGCCTGGTCCACTACTGTTATTGGTCCGGGATTGTTTGTCCGATAGGCTATCTCCACGATACCGACCTTCGATCGCCTGCGCTGTGTCCGACTGTGTCTGGCATACGATAAATACGATAAATGACCAATGCAAGAGGCGGGGAAGGGAAGCGAGGGCCATGACCTCCTCATGTGCACTTTTAGCGAGCATCCTCATTTTCTATTTGAAAACAGAAGCAAAGGTATGAAACAATTGACCTGCAGCATGATAGCAATAACCTCAATAGATTTGTA